CTAAAATTATTCTGATGTGTCATTTTCTCCACTATCAAATTAAAACAAAAAAGCAGCATAAGTATCTTTACCAATTTTCAAGTTCTTTCTCGACTTTCTATTAAGTATGCTGGAAGATGGAGCTGCTGACATCATAGTTTTTGAACCACTGAGTAATTCTAATGACTTACCTTTAGATGTTTTTCAGTGTCATTGCATTTCATAAAGCAGTAGACACTAGGATAAGGATGGCATTCTAGGCACTACGTTAGAGTTTCTGTTTTCAGTCAGGATATTTCCCTACCCTTGCAGATGTTTTTCCCTTTTTAACATCCCAGGAATACATTAAACACTTTTGCTGTGACATTTGCTGAGTGCCTGTGTTGCGTAAGTTATTCATGACTATTTCAGTTTGGAAATCTATCATCATGTAGACATAACAATGCTTTTATTGTTCTCATCTGCTAACTGCTTTGCGTGCATTTTTGCTTTAAATGGATCCAGTCAGTTATGATAGTAACCTGCACTGTTCAGTAACTTTTATTCCAGCAAGACCCTTTGTATTTGCCCTACCTGCATTGAGAAAGGACTTTCATAGTTGCATTCTCCCAGTAACAGCATATTACACGATCTGTCAAGGAAAGTCTGTAATCATTTTACATTACTTCTCAATTCAAGTACGTGTTGATGTTAGAGATGTGTGAATCATGGGGGTGGGGGGGGAAAGCCTTAGTCTTTGCTGTACTAAACCGAGTGAACTCTTGCACAGCTTGCAGAATTGATGGAGGAAAAGGGGGAAAATGCTTGTCCTTCAGGAATGAACACTGCAAAAATGTAGAAGAATGTTTAAAAAGAGTTATTTCTGTAGCTGTGCTCTAATGGTCAGTCTGTGTAACTGAGTCAACTTACAGCTTGCCTTATTTCCTGAATTTACATATGTTAACATGAGACACTTCTACATACAGCACAGCCTCTGTGTTAATATTGGATAGATTTCATTCAGCCTTACGTCATTAATATACTGAGGCATATTTTCAGCATACTGAGTTAAATGACATGCTTTTCTTAAGGTGGCAGAGAAATTTGCTTTATAAGTGACTTATAAATTTATCACTTTTGGTTTTCCTCTTTGAAAACAAAATTTGAGGTTTTCCTCATTGAAAGAAATGCCCTTTTAGCTGGGGGGAGCAGAAGATGGCATTATCTTGCCCATAACTTTGGAAATCTCAGGCAGACTTTACTTCTCTGGATATAAATTTTAATTCAGTGAGAGAATTTAAATGGCATATTTTCAAGATGAGTTATGATGAGGATGGTTTTACTGCTGACTGCCTGAAAGATAGAAACATAGAATGGGTTGGGTTGGAAAGGACCTTAAGATCATACAGTTCACAACCCCCCAC